TCTCAATGGGTGTTTGTCCTGGCGTGACTGTGGGGAACACCTGCCATTTGACCCCATACCCTGGGGTCCTGCAACAAAATGGAGGCCCCTCCTCATCAGCCCCAGAGCCAGCACCAAGGCTGGCTGTTTGGGAAAGGCTGTGACCCAGCCTTTGATAATCCTTGGCTTCCTGCGTGACCAGTGGGGTTGTGGAGTCTGTGACTCGGCCTCAGCTGAGCTGCTGGGGCTTCTGTGACCAACTGGGGAGGTTACGACCAACGGATACCTTGATGCTGCAAAGGCTGCCCCACCACTGACGCCCTCAGTGCTGCTGAAGTTAGTGACTCGGGGCTGAGCATGGTCTTTTCCTCTCCAGGGTCTGCATGGGGGCCTCAAGGCTCGACCCTAGTGTCCCCTGTAGTGTGACCCTCTGTGGCCCAGCCTCTGCAGCTCTTCCTTCCAGAAGCCTCCTGGAGTGGGCCACCTGGCTGTGTGCCCTGGGACCTCACCAGGGCCAGGACAGACCATTTCTTACCCTCTTTTCTCCTCAAAGCCCCTGAATGATAGTCCCCCAAGTTTTGAAGTTGAGGACCCTATTAAATATCAAAGGCTGTGACCTCCTTACACAGTATTGTACTTTTTGCGTGTGTTGGTTGAAAAGCAACACGATCCTTTGAACTCAGTAATGCTTTTTAAAGGATCTGTGTTTTATCCATTACTCAAGTCAAGCAGCAGTGACACGTGTTAGTGATTCGGGGTGTGGGGGCTTGGAACCTGGTCTTCAGACCTGGTGGTTGTGGGTTGATGGGGTGGGAGGGTACAGGTGGGCAACCTCTCTGGTCAGCCCGGGGTTAGAAGCCCCTGGGTCCACCATCCTCACTTGAACCTCTCTGAGATGCCCACTTGGTATCCTGACTTCTGACCCTGCCAAGGAGCTTTCAGGCCCAAGATGTCTTGGAGGAATGCTCAGCACAGCCCCAGGCCTGCTCGGCTGGCCAGGGCAAGGGCTCTGCTTGGATGGAGGTTGCCAAGGAGGGTGGCCCTCCTTACGGGCAGTGTGGAGTGAGAGCTGGCAGGACTTGGCTTGAGGCTGCCTTCTTGAAACTTCTCTGCCAGCCCTCTGCCCACAGACTCCAGCCCTACTCTTGGGAGTGGCTGGCACCAGCATGATGAAGACTTCGGCCCCTGGGAGCCCTGACCCTGTGCTTGTCCAGTGTCATCCCCTCTCCACCTCTGAGTGTGGGCCAGCACCTTGGTCCCTTTGGCCCCTGGTGCAGGGGTCAGGAATTCTTACTTGATGATGCTCTCGTCCTTGGGCTCCCGGAGCCTGCAGCCATGTTGAGGGGCTTTAGGCAAGTTTCCCTTAAAACAGAAGGGCCAGCCAGGGAAGGTGGTCCTTCGGGGCTGGGGAGGGAGAGATGGCAGGTGAGGAGTGCAAGCACTGCCTGGAAGTCTGCAGACACCGCCACTGCCCGGTGGCCTTAGGAAGCCCCTCACCCTGTCCATGGCTGGGTTCCTCATCTGGGGGAGATACTGTCTCAGCCCTGCCTTGTCAAATCAAAGGGTAACGGGTGAGAAGGGGTGGAAAGTGTTTCTAAAGTCTCCCCCTTCACTCCCTCTTTCCTGCCGTGCCAGAGTCCTGACTCAGGTCCCCTCTCTCCATCCTTCCCACGCAGCCCCCGCTGTGACCAGGAGACCAGTGTGGTGGAGATGGAGATGGGCTGACTCTTCCTCATCCCTGTTCCCCAGCCCCCACCAGAGCCAAACCTGGCTTGGGCCTTTCAGGCCGGTGGGCTTCCAGGGCTCTGAGCTGCGGTTGGGGAAGGAGCAAATTGGCCCTTGCTTTGAGCAAACTGACTGTGAAAGTTTAGACCTGACTAACTGCAAGTGTTTTGATTTGTTGTATGAAAAGCTGATTTTTCTAGGTCTTGCAGAGGTTAAGGGCCCCCACTAAAGGTGTGGGCTGGCTTGTCTTAGCCTTCCCAGGCAGCTTGAGGTGGTGGTGTCCCCAAGCAGCCCTGAGCCATGGCTAAGCCCTCTTGGGAGGACCCAGGTCCGGAGGCAATGCTGAGGAAAGTCCCGTGTGAGGCCTTGGAGGCAGCTGGCCACAGGCCTTGAGCACAGCAGGCCTGCTAATTGAAACTGGAATTCTCACCAAAAACCCCAGAGTCAGTGGGTGCCTGGTGATCCAAGTTCACTCAGCAGTTTCTGCCAGTTTCCTCCCCAGGGAGCTGAGGCTGTCACAGAAGGTTCACGCTGGAGGAGATTCAGGAGGTCACTACAGCCCCTCCCCTCAGTGGAGACCCAGCCCTGAGTGGGGAGAGGCTGCCCTGAGGCCCTTGAGCTGGTTTCAGTGGGGAAAGCATTTGCTTAAGAGCTTGTTGTATAAACAAGATCACAGAAGGATAAGCTGACCAGTGTCGAGGGAACAAATTGTTTTTAGGGACTGGGCAGATCCAAAGTCTGATCTAGTTGTGAGAGAGGCCCTGCTCTTGGGAAACTGCTAACCTGCTGTATAGGTGAGAGGCTGAGCCTCCCTGGGTCTTGGGCGGTGCCTCCAAGGTTGACAGGGTCCCCAGTGCACTGAGTTCTCTGCAGGCCTCAGCTACCTGGTCAGTGAAACAGGACTGGACCCCGATGACTGGATTCTGCCAGCCGAGGCTGGTCTGGCTGAAGCCCTGACCCCTGCTCCAGGATGAGCTTTCTCTCCAAGGGAGGGAGTTGATGCACCGGGAAAGATGCTCGTCCCCTAGGGCCTCTTTGGGAGTGGTGAGGACAGGATGGGCGGAGGCGTTGGGTGAGGGTGAAGCAGGGTCTCTGTGTGGGTGGGTTCGGGGTCCCCGGGATACTTGTCCTCCACCAAGCCTGCTGCCCTGTCAGGAGCATTCTGCCGTGGGCCTGGGACGAGAGTATGTTGGGGTGCGGGTACCCACTCTACTCCTGCCTGGTGGGTGGTAGTCTTTGTAACTAAAGGGGACTGGCTTGGGGAGGTGAGGGACAGCTTCGGAGCTCTATGGAGTCAGGCCAGGGACTTGAAACAGCACCTGGGACAGTGTAGACAGGATGTGGCTTGGGTGCGGGTGGAGGTCAGGGACTGTGACTGCTCGTTGTAGATGGGCCAGGACAGCTCAGAAAGGCCCTTTTGGGGCCAAAACCCTTTTCCTGGGGGGTGAGGGAAGTCCAGTTTGGGTTTTGTACTTTCAAAGGAAGCTCAGTGGTATTTCTGGCCTCACGGTTTCTACACGTGTCTGAAGCTTCTCTCTGAGCTGGACCCCTGGATTTGGAGCCCCCACCTGGTCCAGCTCTGCCCCAGGAGCCAAAGGTCTTGTATGTCCCTCCCTCCTCTGCTCCACTCATGAGTGAGGCCCTGTGGCCTGTGGCCAGGACCTGGCGAGGCCTCTGGGGCTGAGGAGGCCCCATTCCCTGGAGCCCAGCCTCGGGCGGGGTCTGCCTTCTGAGGAGTCTGCACAGAGCCTCCCATGAACTGGCTCCCTCCTGCCCCCTCTTCTCCTGAAACCCTACACACCTCTATCCCTCTTCTTCCCAGACGAGTCCCAGAATCCTCTTCCCCATGCTAAGCGGCTCTCACTCCCCAAGTTCGAGCAGCTGCCGCTGTAGGTGGGGTGCTCACTGCGTGGCAGGCGCTGTTAGGTTCTTTATGGGCATAACCTCATTGAGTTTTTGCAACAATCCTGGAATGTAGATGTTATTATTGCCCCATTTTACAGATGGGGAGACTGAGGCCCTGAGAGGTTTATTGATGTCCCCAGGGCCATTCAACTAGTAAGTGGCAGAGGTCAGGAGGTCTCTAAAGCCCTTGTGCTCTGAACTATGCTGTTCTGCTTCTTTGTTCATTCTTTGTTCTGGCCCCTAACATTGGGGCCCTCTCGAGATGGACTGGGACGTGGGGCTGTTAGGGTTAGTCTCCTTGCTGGACAGGACACTCGCAGCTACCCTTCCTGCCACCTGGCTGCTGGGTCCTCCCTTCCTCACCTGCTGTCCTGGAGCCAGTGTAGGGGTCAGGGGTGGTTCCCCTGCCCCGGGGTTTCTGCTCAGGCTTGCTCAGCTGTGTGCGGTGTGTCCCACTTCCTCCTGTCCCTACTCCCCGGTTCTGCTGGCACAGCCCTGCCTCGGGAATATGTTTGCACTGTGGCACTCGCAGCCTCTCGGAGCTGGGCCAGGCAGGCAGCATTCCTGGGATGGCTGCTTGCAAACAGGACCTGTTCCTAGCCTACAGCCCATTTGTTGATGCCTCCTTAGTGCAGAGCCCCTTCTAGATCAGCCTCATCCACCCCTAGCCTGATGGGTGTCCCCTTCTTCCTTCCCCAAGTGGGCCTGGACCCAGTCCTTCCTGTGGATGAGAAAACAGGCCAGGTGTGGGAAGGAGCATCATGGCCAGGCCCGGGGCTGTCCTGTGTGGGCAGACCTGCCTCAGCACAGACAACTCACCCCTACCTGTCACTGACCCCTCCACATGGGGCCCTTTCTGTCCACACTCTGGTACCCAGCATGCCTGGAGGCTGCCTGTCTGGAGCCAGGTCATTGTGGGATTGTTCCTGGGGGCTCTTGAAAGCCCCTCAGTGGGGCAGGGTTGGCAATCTTGGATCCCGAAGCTCCCCGGCCAGTGGCCCTCAAGACCTAATTCTCAATGTAGGGTAGACTGATGGGGTCCCATGGGGGCCACAGCATGTGTTCCCAGGCTTCTGTCTTCTGTCTTCTCTGTTCTCCTGAGAGCTCTGGGGCACCCTCACTCATCTGAGCTTCTTGGGGTGAGGGCACCTCCCCCTCCTGTGTGTTTCTACACCCCAAGCACCTAGCACTGGGCTGTGTCATCACAGCATTAGTGGGTGTGGAGACCGAAGGGCTGCCCAGAGCTGAGGGTTCTGGAGCCACATACGAGGGCTTCCTTCCTGTGCTGAGTGTGTGTGTGGGGAGTTGACTCAGCTGTCTAGGATGGGGACCCTGGAATAGCAGGGCCCCACCCAAGCCTCCACTCATACCCTTTTCTGATCCTTTTTCAGCAAATTGTGGCCACAAATGTGCCCCCTGAAGATCAAGATGGCTCTGGGGATGACTCTGACAACTTCTCTGGCTCTGGCGCAGGTGAGCTGGCAACAGGCCATGGGCTGGGGCCGGCAGTCAGGCAGCTCCCCCGCTGGGCCTGAAGGGCAATGCTGGGGAAGAGAATGGGGTCCGCTCTGCAAGGAGAAAACGTGTATGTGTGGGGGAGTGGGTGTTGTGGGTCCCAGGAGGCCCCAAGGGCCGCCTGCTGCAGACAGACTTGGGCTCATATTCTCCTCTTTAACTCCCTGGGCAACCTTTGGAAGTGGGGTTGACTTCTCCAAGCCTCTATTTCCTCATCTGTAAAATGGGAATAATATCTTGACTTCATCAGGCTGTTGGGAGCTGTAAGGCAGCACAGAGCCTGGTGGGGTGTAGATCTGTGATAAATGTTCCTTTGTCTCCCCTATGTCCCCTTTCCCCGGGGAGTGGAATCCCTGAGCTGGAGTTGGTCAGGGAGGCCTCCCAGAGGAGGTGCTCTTGAGCTGGACCTTAGAAGAGGGCCGAGGCCATCGTGGGGAAAGTGGCCTAGGCTGGGGCCTGGGAGCTGGGAGGTAGGACACAGGCCTCTGTTCTTGGGAACCTAGGCTTTTCTGGGGGGAGGGCAGATGGAGCAGAGAGGGGGCCAGAGAGGTGTGTGTACTGGGTATAAGGCCACTGAGGACGCCCCCGCCTAGGGAGGGGGCTTCAGAAGTCACGGGAAGGGTTCCTTCCCAGATAAACTTGGTGTCTCATGGCTCCAGAGACCAGGCTGTCCCCAGGTACGTGCAGCAGAAAAGGGCAGCTCTCCTGGTCCATTTTCCAAAGTCGAGTTTAGCCTCAGCTAGTTCTACCCCGGGGGACACAGCTTCTCGCGAAAGGAAGGGTTTGCTCTGCGGGCCTGGGAGTCAGAGCTGCAGGTCCTCACCCTGGCCTTCCTCACAGCGTGAGCTTGGCTGGTCTGGATGTTCTGGGGCCTCTCCCACCCCAGCAGCCTCTGCTTCTGGCCCTGTAGGTGCTCTGCAAGATATCGCCTTGTCAAAGCAGACCCACTCCACCCGGAAGGATGTGGGGCTCCTGACAGCCATGCCCACGGCTCCAGAGCCCGCCAGCACGGATACCACTGCCGCCTCCACCTCCATTATGCCGCCCGCAGAGGGGCCCGAGGAGGGAGAGGCAGTGCTCCTGGCAAAGGTGGAGCCTGGCTTTACTGCCCAGGAGGAGACCACCCATCCACCCAGTGAGACCACCCTGCACCCAACCAGCCACCGGGCATCAAGAGCAACAGCAAGAACTGCCACGGCCCAGGGACCTGCCACCTCCCGTCCCCACAGGGCCACGCAGCCTGACCACCATGGGACCTCAGCTCCTGCAGGACCCGACCAGCTCGACCCTCACAGCCCCATACTGGAGGACGGAGGTCCTTCTGCCACTGAAAGGGCTGCTAAGGATGGAGCCTCCACGCAGCTCCCAGCAGGAGAGGGCTCTGGGGAGCAGGTGAGTGTCTGCCCACTGCAGTCCCCCGCATGTCCTGGGCCGTTGGGGCGCCAGTGGGCAGGGCGGCTCCTAGTGCCTGGCAGAGCATAGTGCATCAGGGTGGGGGCACTGGCCTGGTCGTCTGGCACACCCAACCCCCTGTGACCCTGTCAAGACAGGGTCACGAGGTCTCACCTTCCCCCTGCCTCTGGGACCCAGCCCAGGGCAGGACAGACTAAATATGAGACCAGAGCAAGAGTCCTTCAAGATCACTGAAGGGCCAGCCCCGGTGGCCTAGTGGATAAGTTTGGCGCACTCGGCTTCAGTGGCCCAGGTTCAGTTCCCAGGGGCAGACCTATACCACTCGTCTGTCAATGGCCATGGTGTGGCAGCGGCTCACATACAAAAAGAGGAAGATTGGCAGTAGATGTTAGCTCAGGGTGAATCTTCCTCAGCAAAAAAAAAAAAAGAAAAAGAAAAAGAAAAATCACCAAAAAGAAGGCTTGCCAAACTGAGACTTAAGCAAGGCTCCTGCTGCAAGTGTAAAAGTTCTACCAGGTCTTATTTTTTATCTTATAGTGTCATTTTAGTCTATTTATTTTCATATAAAAACATATGATTTATATCACTTGATGGGCTATCTCTGCCACAGTGCAGCCAGGGTCCAGTGTGATGTGGTGAGAGGGGCCTGGCTCTGGGGTCCAGCAGGTCCGGGCTTGGGTGTGTCTGAGCTGGTGGCAGTGGTGACAGGGATGGCTCCTGGTTTGGAAATGGAACTGGATGCTGCTGCCAGCAGTGGCCCGCCCAGCCTCATCCTGGCTCTGCCCTCCCGTAGGACTTCACCTTTGATGTGTCTGAGGAGAGCACGGCCCGGGATGCTGACCAGCGGAATCAGCCCCCAGTGGATCACAAGGCCACTGGGACCTCGCAGGGCCTCCTGGACAGGAAGGAAGTGCTGGGAGGTGAGTTTTCTCTCAGGTGGGTGGGGAGGGGGGCGACTGCTGCTCTGCGGGTGGGGCGCTGTCTTTAGCCCTGGTGTGGGGCTGACCACAGCCAAGGCCACCTCTGGGGCTGCCAACTGTGGGAGGGACTGCTGCTCAGCCCCAGGAGCAGCCGAGCTGAGCTGGCCTCTGTCTGCCCGTTTTAGGGGTCATTGCCGGAGGCCTCGTGGGGCTCATCTTCGCCGTGTGCCTGGTGGGTTTCATGCTGTACCGGATGAAGAAGAAGGACGAGGGCAGCTACTCCTTGGAGGAGCCGAAACAAGCCAACGGCGGGGCCTACCAGAAGCCCACCAAGCAAGAGGAGTTCTATGCCTGATAGGGGAGCAGTTCTCCCCTCCCCCTGCCACTCAGCTAGGCCCCCACTTGCCTCTTCGTTGAAGAACTGCAGGCCCTGCCTCCCCTGCCACCATGCAACATCCCCAGCACTCCCTGCGCCCCTGGCCGGCTCCCTGCCCGTGGAGTTCTGGGGCACGCTGGGGCTCTCCTCTGCTTCTCTGACTTCTGCCTGGAGACTTGGGCGCAAGGGCTTTCTCGCGTATGAGCTTTCCACCACAGCCAGCACCTCGCATCTCACCATTCTGACTCAGTTTCTCCAAACTGGAGCAGCCCCTCCCCAGGCCCAGCTCTGGAGAGAAAGGGGACCCCGCTGCTTTGGACCTGGATGGCCCACTGGGGCTGGGAGATGCTGGGACTGAGGGCTGAGGGCTGACACCTCTGTAGCACTTACTGGGAGAAACCAGCAGTCTTGGGGGCGTCCACCGCTGAGTGGCAGGGAGAGGAGTTCAGGGCTCCATCGGAATTCACTTTGTTTTGTGGGGAGGTCTAGTTTAGATATCAACTTGTTTTTGCACATGTTTCCTCTATAGTTTCTTTGTTCATAGCCCAGTAGACTTTGTTACTTCTGAGGTAAGTTAAGGAGGTTGGTTTGGTTATCCCCAATCCTGCTTCCCTCATCTCTAGTCAGGAGACAGCATCAGGGTTAAGAAGACTTTCTTTTTTTTTTTTTTCTTAACTTGGAGAACCAAATCCGGAAGCCAACATAGAGGCTTAGTTTGTGTGTTGTCTCTGAGTTTGACGCTCACGTGTGCAACAGGGTATGGGATGTCTGTGGGGTGGCCCCGTTGGTGGGCTGGCCAATCCCGGCTGCCACGGGCAGTCACCTCTTGGAGCGGTCATTCCCGTGTCCATGAACTCGGGGCCCCGGCCATGGCCCGGGCTGCTGCAATGTTGAGGAGCCCATGTGAGAACTGAGTCCTGGCGCCTCAGGCTGGGGGTCGAGGGGAGGGGACTCTGGGGTAGGAGAGGTGGCAGGGCCCAGAGAATCTCCTGCAGATCGAGCCCTGCCTTTGGGCTCGCGCCGTCTCTGGGCTGGTGGACTCTTTCTCCTGGAAGGTGACGAGAGGGGTTTTGGGCACACCTGGCACTGAGCTGCTCCACGAAGGACCAGGTTCACCTGTGATTAGCTCCTGTGGCCCTGCCCTGGGCCCGAATCAGGAATGTTCCAAAGAGTGATAGTCTTTTGCTTTTGGCAAAACTCTACTTAATCCAATGGGTTTTTCCCTGTACAGTAGATTTTCCAAATGTAATAAACTTTAATATAAAGTAGTCACGTGCACTCCACTGCCTTTGCTTCTCTCTTTGCTGGTCGTTTGGACGTGACCAGCCTTTTCTCGAAACACCGGTGATATTGGGAAACTTGGCTAAAAGCTCTGTGCCTTCATCTTTCCCGTGGGGAGGGATTCTGGGGCCAGAGTCCTGGTTTGTTTTTTGTCGTCGTTGCTAAAATTCTTCTGGAGGTCGGTAGGTTCAGCCAAGGTTATATAAAGCCTGATGTCAGTTTCCACGTTGCCAAGCTTGCAGCCCCGTCTCCTAAGCGGCCTAAAGAAGCTGTGAGGGCCCCGGCACAGCTTGACCTGAGGGCCCTGCCCACAGAGGCCTGGAGCCCAGGCCTGCCTCGCAGACCCCTGGACAGTCCTCCTCTCGCACCTTTGCTAGCCCAGAGGCCCCACCCGGGATTCCTGGGAACTCCTGCGCTTGCTTATTTAATTTGACAACGTTCCGGCTGCTCTGTGGGCCGTCTGAGAGGGTGGCTGTCTGTGACGCAGAGAGACGCACCGCCAAACGAGGGGAACCTGTGCCCTGTGTTCGACTCTGGGACTTTCTCCCGGAGTGTATGACTGGACACGACTCGCGGGTGGGGAAGGGGTCCGTGACCGTGCCCGTGTCTGCTGGTCCGTGGGAGGGAACCGACCCTGTGGCTGGGCCCATTCTTGTAACTGTAATAAATGGTACTTGTCATTTCAGGCTGTGGTGGTGGTTGAGTCTCTTCTTGGCCTGGCGATGTCCTTTTCTGTCACCTCCTTGTGGGGAGCCTGGCTCTGGGCTGTGCTGTGGCTTGGTGAAGAACAGCCTGGTTAGCACTGGTCCCTCGGCTGTAAGGGAAGGCTGTGCCCCCTCTGCCCTCCTCCTGCAGCCAATGTCAGGCCTTCAGCATCTCACCTCCTCCCAGGTGGGCCTTTCTCCTGCCCAGGCCCTCCTTCTCGCTCATTCCCTTCCTCAAGGACACGAGGCCCCCTACTATTGTCTCTAAGTTTGCTAGCTATTCTGTTTGCTCATTGTCATGCAACTCCTGAAAACTCACTGGCAAATCGTCTCAAGGGCCAAAGGTCTAAAGTCTATACGTTGGGGAAGAGCCAAAGTGAAACTTTTTGGGGGTTAAGTGCAGTGCTTTGCAGGAGTCCCCGTGTCCTAAGAGCATCTAGCTGCCCTCTTACTCAGGCTGCTTGTCCAGTCTGCTGACTCCCACCCAGCCCCTCAGCTGCCCCTTCGTGGCGGGTCTCCCCGCCTGGGGCCCTTGGCACCTGAGCCCCTCTCTGGCCCTAGGTGCAGGCCAGCCCCTGACGCCAGACCCAGGTGTGTCCCTCCTGGGCCCTGCACCTGCTGGTGGGGCAGGGACTGCAGGATCTGGTGGCTTTGCCGAGTGAATTCTACTCTCCCAGACACGTGCTCGAAGGGTCTGGAGGCTGAGACAATCTTCAGATCATTCATTCGTTCAACAAACTGAAAATACCGAGTGCCTGTTTTCTGCCAGTCCCTGGCTAGAGAGTGAGGGCACAGTTGTAGAATTGGCTACCTGGATATTAAGACTTTTACTGAGCTTACTCTGGGCCAGACAGTGCTCGACACGCCCGTCCCACTGCTCTCTCTTCTCGCTCGGCTAACTCTGCTTCCTGCTCTCTGCTCCCACCCCAGGGCGCTGCCAGGACAGGGTGGGGCGGTAAAACAGGCTATACTGAGTGTTTGAGACTCACAGTGAAGGAGCTAAAATGTGAAAGGGTTTAAACATCGTCTCCTCAGGCACCATCTCTTCCCATCTCTCCTCGGGCCTCAGCTTGCTGCCCTTGTCCCACGACCTGACCCCCTTCCCCCTCTTTCCTGCTTTCCCAAGCCTCCTCGCCCCCCATGTCTGGGAACAGAGCAATTGAGCACTATTTCCTTTTCCCTCACCTTTAGGTCATGCCCACGTGGCCTGGCTGTGTCCCTATGTTGTGTGGGGTTGGAGGACTCACTGAATTTTCCGCTTAAGAGTTCTTTCGAGTGACTTTCTAAACGACTGAGCCATCTTCTCTTGGATTGACTGTGTCGCCTTTTTAATTTACAGCCGGTTTCTGCTTTAAATTGCACTTCCTGCCTTACTTGTCTCTTGGGTTTTGTTCTGGATAGCTGTCTTCACATCGGAACACAGTAGCGCGGCCCTGCTCTCAGGGAGGTTGCAGTCCAGGGGGAGACAGAGCAGTGAGAGCCGCCCAATGACAGAGTGCTCTGTGTGGGCTACGGAGAGACAAGGGCCGCCTAACCTGGCGTCTGGGTGGTAGAAGGTGCCCAGAGGTGGCACTTGAACTGGGTCTTGAAGGACAAATTCAAATTGGCCTCTCAAACAAGGGGGAGAAGGCATTCCAGGCAGAAGGCACAGCCTCAGCAAAAATAGGCACTCAAGAAGCTTCAGGCTGGGGCCGGCGCCGTGGCTTAGCGGTTAAGTGCGGGTGCTCCGCTGTTGGCCACCTGGGTTCGGACCCCGGGCGCGCACCGACGCACCACTTCTCCAGCCATGCTGAGGCCGCGTCCCACATACAGCAACTAGAAGGATGTGCAACTATGACGTACAACTATCTACTGGGGCTTTGGGGAAAAAAAAAGGAGGAGGATTGGCAATAGATGTTAGCTCAGGGCCGGTCTTCCTCAGCAAAAAGAGGAGGATTAGCATGGATGTTAGCTCAGGGCCAGCCTTCCTCAGCAAAAAGAGGAGGATTGGCACGGATGTTAGCTCAGGGCTGATCTTCCTCACAAAAAAAAGAAGCTTCAGGCTGGATGTGAAATGAAAGCAAGTGTGGGAAGACATGAGGCTGGAATGTGGGGAGCAGGTGGTGGTCGCTCTGCCTTGTAACCTCTCTGAGGCGACGGAAGCCTGGAGCCTGGGAGCAGGTGCAGGGAAGATTGGGAATTGCAGAGGGATGTGGAGACAGAGGTTCAGTGAGAGGAAAGACGCTGGCTTGCTGAGGGAGGGGAGGAGGGGCTGGATTCGAGAACTTGTTAAGAAGTGAGACTGGTGCACATTCTCAGGAGGAGCCTGAGGGGAAAGGTGCCTGTCAGGAAGTTGTCTTCTGAGCTGGGGATCAAAGGTGGGAACTAATGGAGCAGAAGAGACAGTTGTCCCAGAGCTGGGCCTCGAGGGCAGTGGTCTCATGTCCCCTCCCAGGTTAGGCACTGATGGTAGGTGGACCCTAAAACAGCATCGGGGAGAGAAGGCTTCTTTTAAATGGGTCTGCAGGGATCTACTCTGCAGAGAGGAGCTCCAGGTCCATGCTCTCACCTCTCAGGTGCTCTGTCCACCTCTCTCCCCGCTAGCCCACCCCATCCCCTTTCTGTCCAGCCTGGCAGAAGAGAAAGGTGAGAAGAGAAAGGCAGTCCCGGGAGGGGTGAGCTCCAGGTTACTGGAGCTGCAGGAGCAGAGCTGGGGGAGCGCCCCAGGCTGGGAACCTAGAGGGGCTTGGGATCCTGCCAGTTCTGCCTGCCGGGGACACAGCCCTCACCTGGCTTTCTCCCTTCCTCCTGCTCCCCAGCGCCACTGCACCCCAGTGCCTATACTTGAGCCACCCAGCTTTGCAGCCACTCATGGTGTGTGGGTGTGCCCCCAAATCAAGCCCTCAGCAGTGTTACCCCATGCCTGCTCAACTTCAAGGCTGGGCTCAAAGCTCCTCGGGAGAGGCACTGTGTCCTCTGCAACCCCATAACTTCTGGGTCACTCGTCTCGGCACATCTCGCTATGTCACCGCCAACCGGTGCCTGTTTCCACACTGGCTTCCTCCTACTCTGGGGGCCTTTTGAGGGCTGACACTTTCTTATGACCCAGCCTGAGCGATGTCACATGGGGCTCGCTGCCAATATGGAAGTCTCTGCCTTTGGGAGCTCACTGTGGCCACCTGTGCTGCCGTCCTGCGCTGAAAGTCAAGCAGTCTTTAGAAGCTTATTAACGTGCAAGACGCCACCACGCACCCACCAGAAAGGCTGACATTAGAGACAGACAATCACTGGGCATGTGGAACCACCAGAACTCTCCTGCACTGTTGGAAAGCGTGCCAATTGATATGAGCACCGTATGGAGGTATCTACTAATGCTAAACATCGGCCTGCCCCATGACCCGGGCAGAATGAGAGCCTGTGTCTGCTGAAGGGCAAGTGTGAGAACGTTCACAGCAGCTTCATTCGTCATAGCCCAAATGTAGAACAACCCAAATGTCCATCAAGAGGAGAATGGATAAACGGTGGTATATTCATACAACGGAATACTACTCAGCAATAAAAAAGGACCAACTATTGGTACACGTACAACACAGATGAACTATAGCTACACGTACAACACAGATGAACATCACAGGCAAAATATTAAACACAAGAAGCCAGACACAAAAGCACCCATAGTGCACGACTCCATTTATATAAAGTTCAGGAACAGACAAAGCTAATTGATGGTAATAGGAGCCAGTGGTGCCTCTGCTGTGGGTGTGGTATTGACTAGGCAGGGGCATGAAGGAACCTTCTAGGAAAGGTTCTCTGGAGTGTTCTCTGGCTTGATGTAGGTGGTGATTACAAGAGTGTATGTATATGTAAATAAATCATCAAGTTATACACTTAAGATGAGTGTACTCTGTGTATGTTATTCTGCAATAAGAAAGTTAAAGGTGGAAAAAAGCTTACAAAAGGGCTTCTGAGATTCTAATTAGTTTCTTTAAACCCCACTGTAGCTTTTCCAGCAAAAATGAAGGAGGCTTGCTTGGCCTATGCTGTCTTCAGGATCCCAGAGGATTCTAATTTATGGGCAGAGAGGCCCAGGGCAAAAGCTGTTCACGGCTGCGTGCTGAACGGAGCAAGCCGGCTGTTTCCCGGGGCTAACAGGCGAGGGGAGCAGGCCCCCTCAAGCCGGCCGGGAGAGTGGGCAGCCTGGTGACCCCTCCTCCCCCAGCTGCAGCCAGACCCCTGTCTTCCTCTGTTCCTGGAACCTGCCCGACCCGGCAGTGTTTCCAGCACTTAAGGCTGGGAGCTGAGCC